CTATATATAGCTTTTTCTGAATAACAGCATGCTTATTGGATATCGCGCGTCGCATATCGCGTATCGTGTCACACATCGCGCTAGTTTGCGAGAGCCATTAAATAGAAGATACAACTATGGTTGCGTTCATTTTGGGCACTTACGCGCTGCAAGTATTGTTATTTTATCTTTATCGCTCATTATATGCAGAAAGAAGATAAAATGATAGACTGCAATGCTTGTGACGACAGTCAATTAAAAGCGTCAGTGATCACCTTTGACGCTTTTGATTAGCTGTCGCGACAAGCATTGCGATCTGTGCAGAGATGCCAGAATAAGAATTAACCAATCTTAGTCGACTTTTACAAGAATAATCGAATGAGATTAGTCAATTTCTTAAGGCTTAAAGCTTACTATACCTATTGTGTTCCCGGGCTAACTGATAGTTAAATCATATACTTATCTTTGTTTAATTTGAAAGAAAAACAAAGACAGACACATTCCAAACACCACAAGGACGTCCTCAAGACATGCAGGATGGGCATTGAGGACGTCATGTGCTGTCTGGGATGATTTAACTAGCAGTTAGCTACCAAGTAATTAGAATAACTAATCCTAAATCATAAAATAAGAATCGAAATACAGAACCGAAAAGAACCGTGGACCGAAAATAATTTAACGGTACGGTTCCGATTCCGGTGCCAAAAGCTTTGTAAAGTTTCGGTACGGTTTACGGTTTCGGTTCAACAAAAAAGGCGGTTCCGGTGCGGTTTTCGGTTCCGGTTCCGGTACGGTTCGAGGCCCTGATGATAATCCATACTTTAGGATAATTATAGATACGTATAATTGAATAAAACTATATATATTTTTTAATAGCGTTTCTTTTAGTATAAACATATGTAATTTTATATGATTATACTTGCCGAAAAAGTTATATACAGGGTAATCCGAACAATTTCATGTCCTCAATATACCATATTCTTGAACAAATTCCAAGACCATTTTTTTCTTTTGCAAACTGTTATTCGATGCTTATTGGATTATTAAGATTAACGTTTGTCTATTACGAGTCGGGTGGAAGGCAGGCAGGGACGGAACAATTGACCGTTTACGCGCGCGCCGCGTAGGCACTAACTTTGGACGCTTGGTGCGATGTGCTGATCAAAGCATGTGATAACATTTATACGCATATTATTTTTAAAACTTAAAAATTTTAATAATCGTGGGTGTAATAACAAATAAAATATTATAAATTAATAAGATACGATATCGTAACGTGAACGAGACCGAAAATTATAAAACAGGCTACGACTTATTGTAAAACGCGAATAAACGTCGCATTTTTAATCTCTGTTCTCTTTAATTTTACCTACCACGAGGAGAAAGGAATGTCCATAACTTACGATCAAATCGCGCGTAAAATTAAAAATAAAACTCGTTAGTCTTGCGGGAACGAAAGTACGCTATCAAGTGAAGAGAAACTATTAATCTCGAGATAAGCAATCTTTACAAAAGAATATAAATTCGTAAGTTCACTTAAAGGTAAGAATATTTTATACTTGCTAAACGTAATCAATATTTTGTTCTTCTCGTTTGTATTTTTATAATTTATTTTGCAGCTAAAAAAAGTTCGTGTAATATCGAATATTTTACTTTCAAACGTTACGTTGTGTGTGTGTGTATGTAATATTGTATCCTAATAATTTATAATACTATATTTACTATTACACCCGCGATTATCAATATTTTTAAGTTTTAAAAATAATGTGAATGTTATCACATGTACTAATCAGCACATCGTACCAATCGCCCAATATCAGTGCCTATGCAGCACGAACGGTCAATTGTTCCGTCCCTGTCTGCCTTCCGCACCCGGCCTGTAACAGACGAACTATTTATCTTAATAACTCAGTAACTAAGCTTCCGATAACATTTTGTAAAAAGAAAATAATCTTAGAATTTGTACAAGAATATGGTACACTAAGGACAAGAAATTGTTCCGGATCAATCTGTATAGACTAGAAGGTGATATTATGATCCTCCATTTACATTTTGTACAATAACTTTGTCAATAATCAATATTTTAAAGTGAGAACTAAATGACTACATTTATCGCAGTGTTGTTTAATTGATTATAGATTCAAATTTATGTAATATTTATTACTTAGAATGTTATTTATAAAAATATGGCAACAATGGACTGGCAAGAAAATGGGATAGTAATGTGGCCTCTCACTGATACAAAAAATTTATTTTGTTTAAAATAACACTAAGTATTTAATTACGAAATTATATATTTATTGAAATTAAACTCTTAGAAGGGGAATGAAAATGAAAATAACTACGAATTTTTAATGTGGATGACTTACTTATTAGAAAATACAATCTGTCAGAAATATAGCAATGTAGTGCAAACATAAGTGGACTACAGATTAGAATTGACTTATCTAATAATGACTTTGATGTAAAAACCTCTCGAAAAAGAGACAATATTTATCAGCATTTATGGGGCCACATTAACAAAATGTCATGCTATTTCATTTAACTTTGCATAACTTTGAAAGATGTACAACCGAATAAAATGTCAAGTAACAAATAAAATACAAAAAATTGTACATATATTCGTGATAATATACTCAAGTTTAAAAATAATGAGGAAATATATCTAATTAAATGCTAAAATATATCTTGAAAAACATTTTGAAATACTCAAGAGTAAAAAGTTATAAAAAAGTGCTAGCTATTATGCATTGATATATTAGCATTACTATACTAACGGCGAACTACTAAACAAATGATTCTATAAATAATAACTGGAATTCACTACCTAATAATGGATTAATATATATTGAGAGTGAACATAATACTTATAAGAGACATAATATATAGCATCTTCTCCTCTAATTATTTATAATTATATATAACTGTATAAAACCATATATAATAGTGCATAAATTATATATAATTATAAATTTCGTCTTTATAAGGCCGTGTATATAATCATATAAAATTATACAGGATGTCCAATTTTAATCTATTATCCACTGTAATTTTGCAGGAAGCAGTCGTAGAGAAATATTTCATACAAAAGTTGTATGGTTTCAAGGGGAATATAAAACAATTATATTAGTTTATTTACAGATGGCTTCACTTTTGAGATATTCACTAATTATTACTTTTCTTAGATCGAAACCTCAATTTTTTATTATATCATCTTTTTCTACCATTTAATTTGAACAACGGTTGTCCGAAACATTTTTTTATTTGTTAAATATTTTTTAAGATATATATTTTTTATATAGATTTTTTATATAAGATATATATTTTTAAGATAAGATATTTAACGAAATCTTGATAATTTTTTTAACACTTAACTCACGACGTCTCACTGTTTGTCGGAAGGAAAAATGGTACTAAACTTTTTTACTTTTGTTTGGTTTGAAGAATATATTGCTGCAATAGCGCCCTAACTTTGGATAATTTTGAAATTTCCGAAGGTTGATAAGTTAACAACAGGTAAGACATTATTATAACAATATATTCTTGAGATCAAATAATATAAAAATGTCTAGTATAATTTTCTCTTCCGACAAACAGCGAGATATCGTAAGTTAAAAAAGTTATCAAGTTTTCCTTAAATATGTTAAAAAATATTTGACGAATAAAAAAATGTTTCAGACAGCAATTGTTCAAGTTAATTGGTAAAAAAGATAATATAATAAAAAAATTGGGATTTCCATTTAAGAAGAGTAATGATCAGTGAATATCTCGAAAGTGACGCTATCCGTAAACAAACCGATATAGTTGTTTTATGTTCCCTTGAAATCATGCAATTTTTGGCTAAAACATTTTTTTTCCAGAATGCTTAATTTTTGAAAGAAAAAGAGTGTACGGGTGGTTTCAGATACCCAGTACAACTTATAAAACATATTATATATAATTTAATATAAATTTATATACAGGGTGAGTAAAAATTTTCAGACCGGTGAAATATCTTGAATACCAAGTATTTTAGAAAAAAATATTTCGAACAAAAGTTGTATGGTTTTAAAGGGGACATAAAACAACTGTATCATTTTGTTTATAGATGGCGTTACTTTCGAGATATTCACTAATCATTACTTTTCTTAAATGGAAACCCCAATTTTTATTATACCGTCTTTTTCTACTAATTAATTTAAACAACTTTTGTCTGAAATATTTTTTCATTTGCCTAATTTTTTTAAGATATTTAAGGAAAACTTGATAACTTTTTTCAATATTTAATTCACAATATCTCGCTAACTATTTGTCGGAAGAAAAAATAATAGATTTTTTGCTCTACTTGATCTCAAGAATATATTATTACAATAACGCCTTGATTTTTATCAATTTGATGATTTTGGAATTTCCAAAAGTCGATAAGTTAACAACTTTTTCTGCCGATAAATAGTTAGCGAGATATCGTAAGTTACATATAGAAAAAGTTATCAAGTTTTCCTTAAGTATCTCAAGAAATATTAGGCACATAAAAAATTATTTCAGACAAAAATTGTTCAAATTAATTAGTAGAAAATGATGATATAATAAAAAATTAGAGATTCCATTTAAGAAAAATAATGATCAGTGAGTATCTCGAAAGTAGCACCATCTGTAAATAAAATGATATAATTATTTTATGTTCTCCTTGAAACCATATAACTTTTGTTCAAAACATTTTTTTCTGAAATGCTTAGTTTTCGAGATATGTCACCGGTCCGGGACTTTCTGCTCTTGTATAATCCTTTCAGCGCTCGAATATATTTTAAGTAAATATATGCAATCGGCAAATTTGATATATAATGTACATTCAGACAAATAAGAAAAGAAAAGTTTTTCCAGACAGAATAGAGAATCACGTCAGAAATGACGTCAAAATGACGTCAAAATGACGTCAAAATGATGAGGAAAATTGATATTTTCATCATGATGTGGTCATATTCTCGTTATTTTAATATTATCATGGTTTCCTATTCTACTCAAGTTAAAAGCAAAACACTCACGTTTTTCTTAAGAACTCGATGATGTCACTATTGAAGAATATTTGCGGGACCTCGTCAAAAATACTTATACTTTCGACAAACAATCGATTTATACAAATGCATGCAAACTCTTGTCGATTTCTCACAATAAAAGTCCTAAAATTACTTTTAATATTAATCACATTTCTGATCATTCAAAGAAACAATTCCACAGAGTAAATAAATATTTCCACGAATCAAAGCAGTAACATCTCACTGCAAGTTCTGCTGATGCATATTTTATCTGGCACTTTATTCGTCGAACTGCTGTCAAATCACACAGTAGTTAAATTAACTTCAATTTAAGTGAGAATAGACATTACGTTTGCATTTAACTGTTCGTTAATCTACTCTATTATTTTATCAATATTAGTATTGATTAATTGTTTATACTTAATAGAATACTGTATTACGCGATTACATGTTTCTTGTAGATATATTTATCAATTGCTAATATTGTTATTATGTATGTTTATTATCTTTTTTTTATATACTGTAACTACTGATTTTTGTTTATTTATCTCTGGAGAGTTCGATATGTTGATTATTATGATCTTCACATATATTATATACACTATATTTGAGAAATACGTTTTGTTGTATTTAGTTTCCAATGTTACTGTATATGATTATTATATGTTGATGCTATATATACGTATATGTTGATGATGTATAATGAAATATATTTCAAACGTGTTAACGTCTACATTTTACGCTTTTATTATCCTTTTACCAAATCTGATTTGACTTTGTCTTTTATTGCAACTTATTAGTTTTACTATGTTCTTGTAGTATACATATATATATATATACATATATATATATATGTAGATATATACATATACGTACATATATATATATATATATATATATATATATATATATATACATACACATATATATATACGTACATATATATATATATATATATATATATATATATATATATACATACACATATATATTACTATCAAAACTGACACTTTAATTCCACTGGATCTCAACACTATAACGATTATATCCCCAATATCCAGCGTGCCAATCTTCGAAGCTTTGATTCAACGAACTCACCGAAGCTCTGCCAAAGCATCGACTAACCAGTTCTCCATCGAAACGCGCCGACTCGCTCATGTTTTCCGTTGACCGAAGACACGTTTCACGGCGGTAGTGGGGTATCTCGCGGCGATATGACCATGAGTCGAGTCGTATCATCCGGTTCATCCAAGAGTAACGTATTAGTCCGAAGAACAACACGAGGAAATAAACGAGGATAAAATATCTTCCTGGAGTACGATGTCGCGGTAGAAAAGGAGGAAGACTGGGGGAATCCGCACGTCCGATGAATCACAGTCGACTCTACTGTTATTCTCGCTTTACCAAAGTAACATAACTTCAGCTTCAGCTATCGTCAAAAACAGAAGAATTATTGACGTCATATTGACTGAAATGAACTGTCTGAATGTTTTCAATAACATGTATTTAGCAATCGTCAATGTAAAATTACTGCTACGCAATGACGCATCATATTCCTTGTCTTATTTGAAAATAAAAAGTGAAAATTGCTTTTGTATGTATTCAATAAATACCATAATATGAACATTACATCATCATAATGTAACGTACAATATAATTAATATATACGTTATGTATAATGTGCACATGCGTTAGTTGTAATTTTCTACTTAAACAATATTACATCTATATAATAAAAATATAATGCGTACGTAATATGTTATTAAAAGATTATATAATAGTTACTTATCGATAGATAAAATGTTATGTAACTGGAACATGAATAATCCATTTCTTAGCAACTATAAACATGTACTTATTTGTATGCGGATATTACAAATCGTCAATCAAATATCAATTAACTCTTCAAAATATGTTTTTAAAGATAATTATTTTATATGAAAGTGATATCTAAGTATAATAATATAAAAACATCTTGCCATTCTAAATCGATTAAAATCTCTCTCTCTCTCTCTCTCTCTCTCTCTCTCTCTCTCTATTTACTTTCTATAGATGATATTTTTGTGGGAGCGATTGTTACTAATAAAAGTAATTATCAGGGGAATTGTTTCTTTGAATGACCCGAAATATGATTAATATGAAAAATAATTTTAAAACTTGTACTTTTATTGTGAGAAATCGATTAGGATTTGCATGCATTTGCATAAATCGATTGTTTGACGAAAATCTAAGTATTTTTGATGAGATTCTGGAAATATTTTTCAATAGTAACATCATCGAGTTTTTAAGAGAAACATGAGTATTTTACTTTTAACTTAAGTAGAAAACCACAATAACACTAAAATAACGAGAATATGGCCAAATTATAATGAAAATACCAATTTTCCTCATTATTTTAACGTCATTTTGACGTGATTCTCTGTTCTGTCTGGAAAAATCTTTCTTTTCTTATTTGTCTGAATATACATTATATATCAAATTTGTCGATTGTATATGTTTACGAAAACTATATTCAAGCGTTCGAGGAATTACTTAAAGGATTATCTCAAGATTATGTTATCTTATTATAAGAGCAGGTATTACGATATATGTTTTATCGTACGTATTCATCGTTCTCATGTATATATAATATATCATATTTTAAATATAAAAGAGAGATGCCATCTAAAGAATGATTTGACATCTTCAAATTAAACGCTATACTTATTATATAACGTTATATTTATATAAGTTATTATAATGTTATAGCCAATAAATAATAAAATATAACAGTTTTAAAACATTATATTATAATAATTCGAAAAAAAGAAATTAAATAATGTGAATAATAATAATGTATAATAGAAGTTATATCATATATTACTTCCATTATATATTAATATATAATAATATTTATATAATATATAATAATAATAGTTATTATAATAGTTGTATTTTTACTTTGTTGCCTATGAACTTTATGAACAACTACTTCCTCTGAATTGCATTCTTTTCATTTAAATGTCCGCGACTTATTTTAGAAAATTTCACTTAATATCATGCATAATCAGTTATTAAAGCCAAATGAAAAGAAATTGCAAATAAATGTCTTTCGAAGAAAAATGTAATTTCTTAGATAGAAAACACGTTAATACATTTCTTAAAAATATCCAACATTCGTTTGTAGTATATATACACTCAAACGCAAAAAACTCGGTACACTAAAAATTTGGGAAAAAATTACAAAATTTCAAATGATCATAACTTGGTAAATAATGAAGATATAAATATGCGCAGAAATGCAAAATGAAGCTTGAAACGTCCTCTTTAAGAATATCTGAATGGCAATTCTGCTCGGCCATTTTTTTCAAAATGGCGGATGATAAAGTAAGAGCATGCAAAATTGATAATCAAAGGTCCGTGTTTGCGATGGTGCATGGTGTGCATCAGGTATCGCAGCGTAATGGGACCAAATGCACATGAAAGTATAGAGTGTTATCTTTAAAATGCTACTTTACCGAGCTCGATGTGATCATTTTTCACTGAGTTCTTCCAAATTTTGCTAAAAATGCGGTTTTCTTGTTAAATTTGCATAATTCAGTGAATAAGTATCGCATCAAGCTCTATAACAAAGTATTTTAAAGAAAACATTCTATACTTTTAGATACTTTTCATCTCATTGAGCTGCGACGCTTACTTTGCTCCATGCGCCGTCGCACGCTCGAACCTTTTTTTAGCAACTTTTCATGTTCTCCTTTTTATCACCCGCCATTTTGAAAAAATATCGTTGCGCACAATTTCGATAGATCTTTCGAAAAGTACAGTTTCAAAGCTTTCAAACCGTTTTTGAAATTTGCTGCTAGGATATTTAGGTGTCGAGATATTCAATTTCAAATTTGCAACAAATGTCGATTCAGCGAGGCTTAAGGGGCTAAGAGGCTCTGCGGTTCGTTTGGCTCTTTCATAATTTCAATAGCTGTGTTCATGTTTCTCTATATAATAATTTACATAACCTGCACAATATATTCAATGATTTGCATTTATTATTTTGAAAGCCAGGGAAATGAAAGTAAAATTCAATTTAGGTTCTTCATTTTGCGTAATCGATATTACTTAATAAAGATGAATTGCGTTTTAAGATACCGCTGTCATTAGCTCAAATTATGGTTGTAAGTCCTCCCAATATAAACCGCATGGAGTTTTACTGGTAGGAAAAGTCCCATTGTGTGTGTGTTTGTATACCATAAGGATAAGGACCCCGTGGTTCGTCAGCTCCACAGTATTTCAAGATTTCACACCCTCCTTGTGGTGTGTGTGTATGTGTGTGTGTGTGTGTGTGTGTGTATGTGTGTGTGTGGTGTTACAGCAGAGATAAGGACCCCGCAGTTCGTCACTCCTGCAGTAATTAATGACTCCAAACCCTCTCTGCTGTGTGTGTGGTGTGTGTGTACTAATAGTGGGTATGACTGCCTCATGCGCGTATTACCTCATTCATACGATCAGGCATACTCCTTATTAGTCTTTTAATTTCATCCTGCGTAACTGTATTCCATTCGTTTTCGAGAATTATTCGCAGTTCTCGCAGTGACTGAGGAGCAGGTACGTGATTTCGTACTTTCCTGCCGAGGTTGTCCCATAAGTGTTCGATTAGATTTAAATCTGGACTATTTGCTGGCCAATCGAGTCGATTTATGCCAACTTCATCGAAGAAATCAAGCACTCTTCTCGCAGTGTGTGGTCGAGCATTGTCTTGCATAAACAAGAAGTTCTCTCCGATGAAGGGTGCGTACGGAACAACATACGGAATGAGTATGTCTTCCATGTATACATCTGCGTTCATATTCTTGTCAAAAAAGTGCAGATCTGTATGAGTATTAGCTGAAATTCCTGCCCAAATCATTACAGAGCCTCCATTGTAGCTATGCCTCTCACTTACCGTACAGTCTGCAAATCGTTCTCCACCGCGACGATAAACTCGTTTTCGTCCATCTGGAGAATAGACACAAAAACGAGATTCATCGCTAAAGAGTACTTTGCTCCAGTCTGCGTAAGTCCAGTCTCTATGCTCAACTGCAAAATTGAGTCGAGCTACGCGATGGTGACATTTAAGCAAAGGTACAGCTGCTGGCCTGCGCGAAAGCAGATTTTGTTCCTTTAATCTTCTCCGAACGGTGTTAACGGATACATTAATGTTGCGGACATCCCTTAAATTGTTTCTAATTTGAACAGATGTTCGATGTCTGTCTCTTAACGAATTTGAAACAATAAATCGGTCATCATTGTGATTGGTACATCGAGGACGTCCCGAACCAGGCCTTCTATGGAAAGAATTGGTTTGTAAGTACCTGGCATAAGCACGTTGCACAGTTGACACTGATAAATCAAGTGCCTGAGCAACGTACCTTCGACTTCTGCCATCTTCAATTAAAGCAATAACTTGAGCAGCCTTTTCAGGATTTATCGTCGCCATAATCGACGCAATAATTTCGATGCGAAACAATCAATTATGGTTTAAATTGATGAAGTTGCACGAAGCAACGCGCCTCGAAAGGAAAAGATCACGGAAAAAGAAAAGTCGCACGAGGCAGCGCTTATCGGAGTGAACACGTTCAGAAAAGGAAAATTGTTTGTCTTTGTTTATTGTCTTGGCACATACATTTAAGAAAAATCCAGTCAAGCCAGACGTTAAAGCCCGGCGCACCGACAGAATCTCAGTCAAGCCAGAACGTAAGCCCGGCGTACTGACAAACTCGCGAAGTCCAGCGTACAAGAGATAGTGCCACTATCGGCGGTGGACCGTACGAAGGCCAAAAGCTGTACGAAGGCAATCTCTGATCGTCTCCGCGGGCACTCTTATATGCCCCGGGCAGCTCGAACTCGCGTGCGAGCCGAGGGGCTCGCGCGCGCGACAACCCAGATCGCCGCGTCGCGGCGGCTCCGTGGACTAGGAGCGCCAGGGAATTTCGACGTTCAGGTGGCATCCAGCGACTCGGCATCCCGCGCGCCGGGTCACCGCGAACTCAGGCGCGATCCTGAACAGCATATTCAAGCTGTGTACCATAATGGCCAATCGTACGGAGAAGGTAGAGAGCTAGGGACAGCTTCGCGAACTAAAGTGTATACCACAGTGATCATGCGTAACTGAAGGGTAAAGAATGATAACTTTTCATAAAAATTAAATTTCCAATTCGCAAAATTGTGTAAATTAGTGTATAGAGAATAACGAACGCGGCTATTGAAATTATGAAAGAGCCAAACGAACCGCAGAGCTTCTTAGCCCCTTAAGCCTCGCTGAATCGACATTTGTTGCAAATTCGAAATTGAATATCTCGACACCTAAATATC